AAAAAGTGGGCAACTAAAGTGAACAGACACTTCTCAGAAGAAGTACAAATGGCCAATCCATGAAAACATGTTCGGTACTTCTGGCCATTAGAGAAATGCAAATTAAAACAACACTGAGATTCCATCTTATTCCAGAAATAATGGCTATCATCAAGACTCAAGTAATAACAAATGCTGGAAGGCCTGTGGGGGAAAAGGAACGCTTCTACATTGTTGGTGGGAATATAAGCTAGTACAACCACTAGCAAAGTCAGTATGGAAATTCCTCAAAACATGAAAACTAGAAATCCCATTTGACTCAGCTATTCCCCTTCTAGATATCTTTCCAAAAGAGCTAAAGACATCATATTACAGTGATAACTGCATGCCCATTTTTTTTAATCAGTGCATATTTTCATTTATTTTAGTTCCACCATTAATCACATAAGAGAAAATTGCTCACATAGCATGTATTAATCACTAAATCTTGGTTTTTACTTTTCCCCACTCCCCTGCCCTCCCTTCCACCCCTCCACCCCTCCCTATTTACAGAGACCTGGCCCCCATCCTTTCCCTTTCTCATATCTATTCCTTTCCCTCCTGATCCCTCTCACCTCCCCTTCCCCTTGGGCCTGATCTTCCTATTTCATGTTATATATTCTACATTTTGATCCTTATTTACACTTTGAGTTTCTCACACCAGAGAAATCATTCAGCATTTACGCGTGTGTCCTATTTATTTCACATAAGAGTATAATGTGCCCATGTTTATAACAGCCCAATTCAATGTCCCATGATTTCTCTTATATGAGAAACTCAAAATATAGATCAAGAGCAAAATAACAGATGGAGAATAGGAAACAGTAAGATAGATCTTTTGCAAATGGAAAAGAGACCAAGAAATGGAGGGAGAGGGATAGAGAAAAAGAGGAGGAGGGAGGAGCAGAAAATGATATTAAAAAGAACTGAGAGGCCGGGGATTTAGCTCAGTGGTTCCACCGCCTGCCTCGCAAGCACAAGGTCCTGAGTTCTATCCCCGGTACCAAAAACCAAATAAATAAATAAAAAGAACTGAGATGTGTTATGTACATGTACCAACTCCTCATGAAGAATGTGATCATTATGTACTACAAACAGGTACTAATAACAAATAAAAATTTTTTTAAAAAGTAAAAAGAAAAAGCAAAGTAAAACAAAGCAAACAATTGTAAAATAAAATCATCAGATTTTTTTTTTCATCAAATGTATTTCTGGGTAATAACATTAAACAAGTTTTATGAAATATCTTGATTTCATTTATTTATTTTTTGAGACAGGGTCTCACCATGTATTTCAAACTGGCCTTGAACTCACTATGTTAACCCAAACTGGCCCCACACTCGGAGTGATCCTTCTGCCTCAGTCCCAAATGCGAGAATTACAAGCATGTGGTTTGATTTTAATTTTTAACAGATATTCAGAATTCTATCACTTCTGCCAGAACTTCATTGAAAGAAAAAAAAAGTAAGACAGTGGAAAAGATCAAGTGGCAGCTCTTATGACATTGGCAGAAAGCTACCTCTGTTTCCATTATTGAGAGAAATCTTGATGCTCCACAGCTTTTAAGGAATTACTAGCTCTGTAATGGGACATAAATCTTGAAAATATTCACAACTTGAAAGTCATCACTGTTGTTATGGGCTGTTCAAATGATAAAGTTTTACTATGACATTTGAATAAAATATTTAATGTGCAGGTTGCCTGATATGCACCTGGATAAATATCAGCTGTTGTAATATAATCTCTCACTGTAGCAGTGGGACACAGTGTCAGGCATAAAAACATTTTCCTATAGAAGAAGTGAGGCGAAATGTAAATTCCTTGTGGGGAGGGTAGGGTGTTGGGTATGAACTAGAAAATACTAACAAGATTCCCTACGGTAACCTAGAATACCTACCCCAAAACAGTATTTCCTCAAAAAGATTGCATAATAAAGCTACTAAAGTTATTAAGCACTGAATTACGCTATCTACATAGAGAGTAAATATTTGTAACACAGAGAATAAATCACATATTTACAATTGTGGAGCTATAAAAGGCAATAAAACATAAATATATAAAAAATGTTGAAAAAATGCTGCTTGAGGAACCATGGAGTGCTATTGGTCAAAAATTAGAGTGTTTCATCAATGGCAGCCATGGAAATTTGTTTTTGAAGCACCAGGGTCCTCTTAAAGGGGAAAGATGCAATCAGGAGAAAGAAAAAAAAAACCAGCCACAAAAACAAAACTCCTGAGATAAAATCACGGAACATCAGAATAATTGTTTAATAGGAACAGATGTTCTAAGTATTAAATTCCCAGATCCTGATCACTGGGAAGGGGACTACCAGACCTTGTTTCTGTGCTTACATGAATGTTTGGAGTGTAACTCCATTTGCAATGACATTAGCACCTCAAACATTTGTTGTTTATAATCTCATATAATTTTGCTTTATGAGTTTCTGTTACCACTTGGAAGTGACGTAAAGACAAGTACCAGTCTTTAACAGTTAAGATAACATACTTGGGAAGATATTCCCAGAACTAGTCTGGGAATGGTGGAAGAATGTGGAAAGTGAAGGAAAACGTTGGTCACAATGCCTTAAAGAGACCCAGAGGATTATTAACTAACTTGACAGTCCGTAAATGCAGAGCATAGGTTGGATTAGATGTTTTTTATTTCACTTTTAACTCTACAATGCTGTGATTCTTTTTTTTTTTAAGTACTGGAAGATACGAATCTTTTCTTGTATTAAAAATGTAATTATTTAATCAGTTAAGTGGTAGTGGTAGCTGGTCTACCAGATAAACACCAGATCTTAGTGACCTAATACATGAAGTTCATTTTTCACTTTTTCAGTAGGTAGTCATTTGCAGGACCTAGGCTCTATTCTTTTCTGGGTGTTCTAAGACCACTCTAAGGAGGTAGCAGACTGAAGATCTAACAAGGAAAGCATGCATGGGTTGGGCTGAAAGTGCCTTTTGTGTGGCTTATGCTCTTCTTACTCCATGGCCAGAACTCAGTCTTATCACATGTGTATTGTCATGGAGGGTGAGAAGCATCCTCAATCTGCGAACCCTAGAAGAGGTATGGGTATACGAGCATCCAGACAGTGTCTACCAAACTCCCACTGAAATGATCATTTTAGAGAACACTGAGTTTTGACCTTGATTTTAGGGAAAAATTTTTAAAAAGCACCTTGTTAGTCTTCACCATTTGTTCCTCTTTAACTAATGTTTTAAATTTTTTCTTCACACTTGATCTTAGCCAAAAGGCCGAGAAGCAATTTAAATTTTTCCTTCAGAACCACTGGCTGGTAACAAGACTAGGATTTCTCTCATACCAAGTTTCACACAGTCCACTAGACGGTGAGGGGAACTGGGTAAGGAGATTCCGCGTATGTAATGAAGATATCAACAGGGAAATGCTTTCCTTTTGCCTCCTGCATCCCTGTATGCTCATTTTGTTACCTTGTGTCATACAAGATGCAGAATTCAAGCTGAATGTGGTGGTAAATGCCTCTAATCCCCACACTCTGGGAGGCTGAGGCAGGAAAATGGCAAATTTGAACCCAGCCTGGATAACTTAGCAAGATTCTGTCTCAAAAGAAAAAAAAAAAAAAAAAAGGCTCAGAAAAAGCCTGAGGATGTAGCTTAGTGCTAAACACCCTGGGTTCAATCTCACAACAACAAAATGCAGAATTTAAACATTTCACATAGGGCCGGGGATTTAGCTCAGTCGTTTCGCTGCCTGCAGGGCAAGCACAATGACCTGAGTTCGATCCCCATACCAAAAAAAAACATTTCACATAAAAATTGACTCATACTAAAATATCAGTGAGAAATACTTCATTTGTCGTATTGTAGGGGACAAGGAGGAGGAATCTGTATGAAGCAGCTCACATTCTTGTAAGACTGAAATTGATTTCCATAGTTCTTTTTCAGATATTACGCTACAGGGGTTTTCTGGCTCTTCCCTCATCTGTCCATCAAATGTGCTCATTTTTCTTTTCCTCTTGCAAAGATTCCTCAGAGGCTGAAATTCTTCTAGGGCTGGGAATTTAGCTCAGTGGTGCCGTGCCTGGCTCACAAGTGCAAGGTCTTGAGTTCCATCCCTGGTACTGGGAAAAACAAAAAATAAAACAAAACAAAAAAACAAACAGATGGTGAAATTCTGCTTCTATTACACACTTACATTTCCTTTCCTCCTAAGTTCCCAAACCAGGACTCCAGCTTCTACTGTCAACTTTAAGAAATGGCTTGTCCCCATAAAAACGCTCTCTCCTAATACAAGACTTTCTCAAATTAGCTTGTAATTTTTTGGTTTTTTTGGTTTTTTTTGGTACCAGGGATTGATCTCAGGTCCTTGCGCTTGCAAGGCAGGCAGTGGAACCACTGAGCTAAATCCCTGGCCCATTACCCTTGTAATTTAATTTAAAAAAACCTCTCCATTTTTTTTTTTTTTTTTTTTACAATGTAAAATGTCACTGTTTGGGCATTGTTTAAAAACTGAACATCAGCTAAGTATTTGTATTTGCTAAGGTTCTCCAGAAAACTAGAACCAATGGGAAGTGTGCACATGTGTGTTTGTGTGATAAGGTATTGATGTGTGTGTGTGCTTTTGTGTAAGGTATTGGATTTGATTATAAAGGCTGAAAAGGGCTGGGTGGAGTGACACTCAGCTGAGTCACAGCTACTCCAGAGGCTGAGGCAGGAGGATCACAAATTTGAAGACAGCTTGGGAAACTTAGCAAAACATTATAAAAATTTTAAAAAGGGTGGGGCTGAGGATGCAGCTCAGCACTCCCTGGGTTCAGTTCCCTAATACAGTCAAACAAACAAACATTCTGTTGTTCCTTTCTCATCCTTGTCTTAACCCCAGTCTGATGTTGCTCACCCAGGATGCTTTCCAGAGCATTACTCTCAGGACCTCGGAACTGCTGCTTCTGTTCATGGACTGATACGAGTCCTCGTCTTGCTGGTTCTTGCAGAGGCCGTAATTCTCAGGACTGGGGTGGATGCTTTGAAGGAGCATGTTGCTAGACACTTGTGATGGGAACTCATTTTTCTTTCTTGAAGTACTGGAGCAATCTGTAAATGTGGTAAGACCGGAACTCAGGGATGCACTGGAACTGGGCTTCAGACTGGATGCACAGAGCTACTGGAAAACTAGGGGCGGTGGAAGTGATTTTATGAACAAGGGAGAGGAACTGAAAGATGCAAGGGATGAAATGGGGTGGTGGCTGCCGAAGGAAGGGGTGAAGTTTCATTCCCTACAGTGATACCAGAGAGAGTTCTCCACCTCTCCCAGGTGGAATGGGTTGAGGAGCACAGCTACTGCCTTACCAGGGGTTGCCCAAAAGGTAGAGAAGATAGCACAGCCTAATGCAAGCGGAGAATTAGGACCAGGAAAATTAAAGATAAGAAATAATGAGTCTACTGTGTTACAGGTAATTTCTAGCTGCTTCCAAGGTTTAATATATGGCGTGAAATCCTAAATTCTGGGTAAAAGAATGCAGAAGTTGAATATAGTGCAAAGTGTCCTAGGATCCTCCTAGAAAAGGAATTAAGTACTATTGGCTTAGAGGAAGGTATTTTATTTTCCCAGTAATTTTTGGTGTTGTTAAAAGAAATCATGGACTTGATGTTTGGTATTTGGTTTCCTTGCACTATATACAGTATTTAAATAAACATTTTACATAATCTTAAGATTTCTAGGTAAAAGTTTTCAAAAAAGTTTATTAAATTATGTGTCTGTGGGTATCTATAAATTTTCTTAGATTATGATGCTATATAAACAGAAAAGATTTTTTTTCTGAAACATGTATTACCATACTCTCCACACAAAATGTACTGACAACAGTCACGAATTGTGTTCTCTTCCCTGCAACTTACCTCTACCGCAGACAGACCAGGTGTATTAATTACTTTCCCTTCCTGGCAACCAAAACTTAAAGCAGGAGAGGTTTATTTTGGCTCAGTTTTCAGAGAATTCAGCCCATAGTTGATTGTCTCCACACACAGACATCGTGGCAGAAAGGCATGGAGAGAATAGCTCCTTAACCCACAGCAGCCAGGAGGGAGGGAGAGAGAGAGAGGAGCAGGGAGAGGGGAGAGGGGAGAGGGGAGAGAGGAGAACACATCCCTCCAAGTCATACCTTCTGCCTCTGGCTGGGCTCCATCACCAAATGTGAGACTTTGGAGGAATATTTTAGATTTAAAACATAATAGCAGGTAAGATATTCTTAAGATTCCATGCCTTAAAAAGTTACTTTCAGGGTATTTAGTCTTTAGCCAAGGGAGAGCTATCTACTATTATCAGAGGCACTTTGTACCAGGAGAGACTTGAACTGGAAATAGATCTTCACATCACCTGCCACATCCATGACATCAGGACTTGAGGAAACTTGTGGACTGACCTCTGAGCTCCTTCCACATCAGGAAATTGTCTAGTGGGCTTCCAGCCGATGATCACTTCTCATATACACCCAACACATGGTCCATTGCTTCTATCCAGGCTCTTTCTACATAGATCTCATGTTGTATCCTGCTAGAGTGAAGAGAGAGAAACTGTGTATTCCATTGAAGCAACTCTCAACTCCTGCAACCCCTGAGGCCAGCTGACACACATAGTTGTAGGGAGAACTATTGCTACAGAGCAGAGAAGCCTATCTTTCCCGGTATATACTGCCAGACTAAATTATAACTTTCCACTAGGAGATAGTTGGCCCCAGTCCACTGGGCTCCTGCCAGGTAAGTCCTTTGAGTCATCAAGCACAATCAGGCTTAGCCTTTTTATGTCCATTGAGTCAGAGTAAAACCTAATTCTCCTGACCTCACCCACTCTACATCTGGCTCTGAAAGGGTTTAAAAACTCACTAGGAATCTACCACAGGAAAATTACGGTGCTGACAGTAATGTACATCTGCTTCTGTAGGCCTTCCTCATCCTGAGCCCTCCTGCAATGCTTTTAATGTATCCCCCAAAGTCATGCGTTAGAAAATTAATCCCCAATATGACAGTATGGGAAGGTAGGGCCCGACAGAAGGGTGTTCAGGACACGAAGTCTCTGCTATCAGGACTGAATTGGCTTAAAATGGATCGCTGTAAATGGCTTGAGGGATAGGCTCTCTCTTCTGCTCTTCTGCCATATGAGGACATAGTATTTCTCACCTCCGAAGGGCCCAGGCATCACCTTGGAAGCAGAAGGATGAAGCCCTAATCTGCTGGTGTCTTGATCATGTACTTCCCAGCCTCCAGAACTGTGAGAAATGAATGTTTTATTCTTTACAAATTACCCTCTCAGGTATTCTGAATCAGCAGCAAAAAATGACTAGGAAGCTCCACTCCTTCATCCAAGATAAGGACTGCTTTGAATCTGATTATGGTTCTTTTGCTTTCCTTTTACCATGGCACTAAATGAATTCCTTAAGAGTTTTGTTATATGATTCATTTCCCTTCGACCTATGACTTGAGCTCTTCCTTCTTTCTAGTATTCAGCTTCTTAATCTGACCTGCTCATTCATGAGCTAAACACAAGCTGAAGTTCAGAAATGCAATGATTCAGGGCTACTGGACATGACATCTGTGCTTTATTTGTGAAAGAACCCAATAAAGATTACATCTGTGCTTTATTTGTGAAAGAACTCAGTGAAGAGTTTCTAGAAACTGAAGATAAACTATTTCAACTCTATCCATCTCTTTCAAATCTTTGGTGAGAGTTGCCTAATGAGTAACCTTCTGAAAATTTCAGAGTTTGCTGCCTTTATTTTTCACCAATATTCTTTATTTGAGTGTGTTCTTTTCACTAAGATGCAACTTACTTTATTTTTAAAATTTTACTTCAAGAAAAAAGAAAAAAGAAAACAAAAAATTTTACTTCAGGCTGTCCTTGAACTCACTATGTACCCCATGGTGGCCTTGAACTCTCAGCGAGCCTCCTGCTTCAGCTTCACAAGTGCTGGGATCGCTGACATGCTACACTCTGCCCAGCCAAGTTGCAATTTAAAAGTATCTGATCAAATCTTTACATAACTCATGTAGGACTTGTACTTTTCACTTTTTTGCCCTTTAAGCACATTCTCAAATTGTTATAGAATTAATCTCACTTATGGTGGTTATTTCTGTGCTGGGTTATGGCTCAGATGTTCTTACTCATCTTTGTCTTTTCCAAAAACTAGCCCAGCATCAGTAGTAAATATTGTTTTTAAATGAATGGATGAGTGACCATCACTGTTTAAGATTATTTGAAGAGGAAAAATTCCCAATGTTTAACTTGTAGTCAAGATCATATCCTCAATTAGCTATAAAAAATGAACCTAAGGATTACATATTCAAGCCCAGCCTGGGAAAATTAGTGACTTAGTGAGACTGTGTATCAAAATATAAAATCAGTAAAAGGCTGGGGATACAGCTTAGTGCAAAGGCCCCTGGTTTGATCCCCAGGCCAAACAAAGCAACAACAACAAAAGAACCCAGAATTATGTCCTCATCAGCTTATTCCACTCCCCTTTATTTTTTTATAAATGGTCTCAGTGGAAGAAGATGATGGCAAATCATATATAAGAACCGTGAAATAATCACAATGTTAGTGGTGATGATAACTGATCCTAAGAACAAGGATTACATTATTTATCCCTGGGAATTTTAAATACAATAACAGATTGGAGAAAGTATGGGAGAGAAGACAGTAACTAACAAACAAACAATTTAGGCAAATATTTGAAAGATGGAACACAGAGGGAGAACAGTAATTAATGCAGCAGAGCAAAATTAGCAGTCAGTGAAGTGCTTGCAGGGCGGATATCAAAGAGGAGCCAGTGGGATTGTTTCAGGACTCTGGTAAACAGTTACATCCTGAGGTCTGGGCTATGGTGGGAATGGGGCACAAGACAAAATGCTGATAACAGAGGGAAGGCCTGAAAAATCTCTGTTCCCAGGTCCCACCTAAACATCCAGAGGCAATGGCTTTCATCTCCGGATTAATGGAATTAGAGAGGCTTTGGAATTGGAGACACCAGCTCAAGAGGTGACGGTGGGGTTAAGTTAGGACACTGAAGGTGCCCCCCCAGCCCATTTGGGTTTTAACCAAAATGCCAAGAATAAGACATATGTTTGTTAAGCAGGAGACCAAGTGCTTTCTTCATGAAAAATTGAGTAGCCTTTGGATCCCCTAACCAAGAAGTTAGCATTTTAACCAGGGAGCCTAGAATGAAGCAAGCGAATTAAGCATTCCAGCTTGAACCTGAAGTGTAAATGATTAGGCCCAGCTCTCCAGATGCCTGAAGAGGACCCTTGGACATGAGAGACAGGTTTAGTCAACTGACTAGGTAAGAGGAATGCAGAGGCATAATGCAAGAAGTATTTTTAAAAAACTTTCTTATTCCTAGAGTAACAATATATTTCATTCTTGGAACAAACAATGTTACTTTATAGGAAAAATGTTATTAAAAACTAATTTAGGAATTCTTCCATCAAAAAAAGTCCCCATAAAAAATGACAAATGAGTATTTCAGAAAAATAGAGCAACAACAATGAAGCAAACAAAGCAACAGAATACGAGCAAAAAGATAAGAAAATCCAGATCTTGTCTCAGAATAAAATAAGGGACTGCGATGTAGCTCAGTGTTCAATCCAAAGGCCCTGGGTTCAACCCAAAGTATTGAAAAAGTAAAATGAGTAAAAATTTAAATTAATTAAAATAAAAAATATTAAAATTACTACTACTACTACTACTACTATACACGGGCCGGGGATTTAGCTCAGTGGTTCTGCTGCCTGCCTCAAAAGCGCAAGGTCCCGAGTTTGATCCCCAGTACCAAAAA